GACTTTGCCAATCAAAAATTGTCAATGAGCCTCTACACACTGCCTTTTATGCGCTAAAACTAGTTTTTAGAGCCTTAAAATCCCTTTTAACTTGACATCCAGCTTAAAACTCTTTAAAACTGTTCAAATCTCACTTTTTAACATTTGAATAACGTTCGGTAACTACAGCTGCCATTATCACCTTTCAATTTTTGGTGTTACCTCGAACGATAAGCTATCACCAAAATGGGGTGATAGGATTTGGTGATTACTTATCTTCACCTACTCCTGTCATTTTCGCGACGCCATGTTTCCAGCTCGTACTATAGCGTTGCTTGGTATAACCTCTTTATTCTTAATACTAAAACCTAATACTATAACTGGTTCACTGTTGTGATGCGATTGTACTTTTGTATAATGATGGCACGCATGGGAACTTAAACAGAAAAAATATCGTACATTTTAGTCAATGGTGCTTACTAGCGCCATCTTCGAGATGAATTCAAAATATTGAAATATACGAAAATAACATGAGCATTTTATGGAACCTGTGTCAACAGTTTAAGCTTTAATTAATTTCTTTACGTTTCTCTACTCTCTCAGTGAAAAATAATCATAAAAAAATGTTTTCTTTTTTCTCTATTCCAATAGGTCATCCATTCCTATATGTTATACAATTCCATTCTTTCCCCTTCTGTATTAATAAAAGTGATCTCTTTTTTCCTTTACATAACAAAAAGAGAATACACTTTTTACAGTTAACTACTACTAAAACTAGACATGTTGCGTACATCATCATTTACATTAACCGTTTTTCGTTATCCGTTATTACAGCAAATAATTCGTTTCTCATCCACAGATGCTACAGCCGGTTCGATCAATGCTGGCCATGACAAATTTGCTGAACGTGAACAAGCATTAGAAAATCAATATTTTCGAAAACAAAGTGAAGAATTAATCAAAAATTTACAAACAAAGCACGACGATTTGAGTCGTAGAACACAAGATTTGACACGTGAACAAAAAGAACTTCGAGACGAAATTGCGAAATTAGAGGGATGGTGGAAGCCAAAACAACCCGCATCATCAACCCAAACAAAGCAATAAGAAAACCCATGAAACTATTTACTAATTAGACTGACTATACACATATGATTTCTTAGTGATGTTTTTGTACGTTTTAGATGTAAAAGACGTTTTTTGGAAATGAAAAACATAGTTTAGAAGTCTTCGGATTCTAATATTCCAGCAGAGGATAAACAATGTATCGCCAAACATTACAAGTATACAGTGATAGTATGAAAGAGCAGATCAGTATCTGATAAGCAGAGAAATACAAAAATTTTCTCAAATTTGTCTTTGCTGATCTTTGGAAGTTTACTATGTCAATTCGAAAATAGTAAATCGAAGGCGTAGTACTCTTATCTCGAATATATGCAACATTTTAACATCTTTGACATTTTTCGTCATCAAGCTTTGTTTCCAAAAAAGTATTGTATAGCTTTCGCATGCTCTAGCTCTTAATGAATAAGCTACTATGGGATACAGAAATAGCAGCACTTTCATGGGTAAAAGATCCATATATGGCAAAGATTCAGCGTATATATATAAAGAAGATTAAGTAGTCAATACGACGAGTGAAAACATTAAAGTTGTACCCAATACAAAACCAAAGTGTGACACATTCTAAATCAGGTTAAATGGAATCTGAAAAATATCCAGCAGAAGAACGTTAACTATGGTGAGTTAAATTTTATTTTACACAAGCGTTAAGCTATTCTTTCTCACATTGACATCGACATATTGATATTGTTTTCTCTTAAAGTATGAGTGAGAAAAAATTCATAGGTTGTTTCTACATGCTTTTGTTTTTGTCATTTTCCATGAGACATCAGAACGATGCATTTTATGGTACTATTCGTATAGACGAAACATCTTGTTTTTTTACTTATTTTTTCCTCTTCTCTTTTTCTTTCAACCATGAAGAATATATGTGTTGTATATATGAAGTGTATGTCTGCTATTTCGTGCCATTTTTCTTGATAGAACAAGCAAAATGATGTAGCAATGAGTCGTTCTCTTTCTTTTCGCACGATACTGTATCGATGAATGCCATCATCTCTTTTCTAATTCTTTGTTATATAGCGTAATGCATATCATCGTAAAATTTCGGTCATAATGATCACTGTTATATAAACAACGTGCATCAAATAAGTTAGACCATAGCCTAAGATCTACAGTCTGTAAAATTTCAGATTTAAACTGAGAGAGTAAATTTAATATTTTTTAATGCATATTATACGGTTGGAAAAAATGTTTTCAAGACAGCATAGAGCTCAAACTACAAAAATGATATAAAAATGAATTATATACCAAATTAATAATCATCTAAAATGAGATTGACGAGTATAATTGATATTTCGTGTGACGATTAT